CCAATTAGACTTACAGATGACTTTTCATCAGAAACTCTACATGCTAGAAGAGAATGGAGAGATATATTCCAAGTATTAAGAGAAAAAAAACTTTCAACCCAGAATACTATACCCTGCAATGCTCTTATTTATGAATGAAGGTGAAACAAAGACCTTCTATAACAAATAGAAATTAAAAGGATTTTTCACCATTTATCAAGCCTTACAAAAGATGCTTAAAGATGTGCTGCACACAGAAACACAGAAAAAAGTTATAATCATGAAAGAATGTGAAAGTAGAAAATCTCCCATTAAAACGTCAAAGGAAATCCAAAGTAAACAATAGAAGTATTTATGGAAAAATGGTAAAGCCAAGTCGCTTTTTATCAATACTAACCTTGGATGTAAATGACTTCAACTCTCCATTTAAAAGATACAGATTGGACATATGGATTGAAAAATAAGACTCATCTATTTGCTGCCTACAAGAAATACATCTCACCAACAAAGATAATCACATGTTGAAAGTGAAAGGATGGAAAAAAGATGTTCCATGTTAATTAAAAGCAGAAAAAGGACAGGTGTAGCTATCCTAGTAAGAGACAAAATAGACTTTAACACAAAATCTGTTAAAAGAGATGAAGAAGGACAGTATGTAATGATTAAGGGATCAATTCAACAGAAAGATGTGACTATAAAAAATGTTTATGCACCCAATCACAGGGTGTCTTGTAATTCAAAAAATGTTAATAGACCTAAAGGGAGACATAGACTCCAATACAATACCCCATTTTTTTTTTTTTTACAATACCCCATTTTCATTAATGGATGGCTCAATTAGACATGAAATCAACAAAAAAGCAACAGAGCTAATCAACAATGTGGACCAAAGGAACCTAACGGATATCTACAGAGCTTTTCATCCCACAGTTGCAGAATAAACATTCTTCTCAATCAGTGCATGGAACTTTCTCTAAGGTAGATGCCATGCTAGGCCATAAAGCAAGTCTCAGCAAATCCAAAAGAGTCAAAGTCATTCCATGCATCATATCTGACCACAGTGGAATGAAGCTGGAAACCAACAATTCGAGAATCTCTAGAGCATTTGAAATCACATGGAGACTGAACAATATGCTCTTGAATTAACAGTATTTAATAGAATAAATCAAAAGAGAATTCACAAAGTTTCTGGAAATGAATGAAGATGACAATACAATGTAACAAAACTTATGGGATATAGCAAGTGCAGTATTTTAAGAGGAAAGTTTATGATTGGTGCCTACATCAAGAAATTGGAAAGACACCAAATCAATGAGCTATCAATGCATATCAAGGACTTAGAAAAACAATAACAAAATAAACCCAAAATTAGTAGAATGGAAGAAATAATTAAAATTAGAGAAGAAATAAAAAATTAAAACCAAAAAACAATACAAAAGATCAGTGGTTTTTTGAAAAAAATAAAAATAAAACTCATACACCATTGGCCCAACTGACCAAAAAAAGAGAGAGTAGACCCAAATCAATAGATTCAGAGAAGAAAAATGAAATGTAATAATGGATACCACGGAAATAAGAAGAATCATCAGGAACTACTACAACAGACTAATAACCAAAACAGAGATTGAATCAGTAATAAAGACCTTCCCAACAAAGAAAAGCTAGGACCGGAAGGCTTCACTGCTGAGTTCTACCAGATGTTTAAGGAACTAATTTCAGTTCTTCTCAAGCTATTCAAAACACTTGAAAGTGAGGGAATCCTCCTAGACTCCTTCTATGAAATCAGCAACTGGAAACCATTATACTTAGTGAAATAAACCAGTCCCAGAAAGAAAGATATCATATATTTTCCTTGATGTGAGGTAAATAATAGAGTACCTAAAATGTAATGTATTGGAATGAAATGGACATTTTGAGATTTGATGATTGTTTACAGCCCTGTCTCTTCTGTTGAGGAACAGTGTTTTTTTCCTTCGTAGTATTTGTTGAACTCTTTTACTCAGTGTAGGGTTAATTTCTGATCATTAAGTAAACTGAAAGTAGATGTTTATGAAAATTAAGAATGGGAATAGTAGAGGGAGAAAGAAGAAGGGCTGGAGTGTGGGCAGGAGGGAGGTAGGATGGGAAGTATCACTATGTTCCTAAATCTGTAAATACTTAAATGAAATTAAAAAAACCCAAATCTTACTCAGGTATTGTAGTTTTTCCAAGATGGTCAAGTCCTTTTACCCTTTAATCAAATAATAATCCAAGTAAGCAAAGATAAGTAACAAATTAATCAATTTATTGCAATGCACAGAAAAGCATTATAAGCAAAAGGAATTGATGAAATGATAGACAAAAGTAGATAAGAAAAATCTCTTGAATTCAGTGTTAATAATGAGTCAGGCACTACACTTCTGTTGAGACATTTTCCAGTGTTCTGGGACAAAATCTTCCTTCAAGGTTATATCCTGTGATTCCAGGTGCCAGCAAGTCATCAGCAGTGAAGCCAAAGAACTTTCACTCCTGCAGAGCCTCTGGAAGCTGATGCCTTTTCAGAGTGAATTCTCTCAGGGGGTGGAGTCAGCAAGATTCTAGTATGTATTTCCCCAGAAGGGAAATTATTTTAGCTTTGAGATATCAACCTTGAAGAGAAATGCCCTGGACCCAAAGTATCTCATTTGCACACAGGCACATGGTTGTAAATGTGGCTGTCAGTCAGCGCCAGTGTGCAGCAATGGGCCCCCATTTCATCAGATAGCTACTGGGCTCTGTTACAGTTTATATAACACGAAAAATCTCAAAATAGGGTTAGCACTGTCAAGCCATCACCAAACTGATCATAATTAAAATTCCAACTTGCTTAGCTTCGCAAGAATCAAACACAGCAATTCACACATCACTACAGGTCACTCCTCTCTGAGACTGAATACATTGCTAGTACTGCCTAGTGGGTCCTTCTTACATGGCCACGTTTAACTGCCCATCTCATTACTTCCCAGGGAGTCTTGCTGTCCCTGCAGTGCTTCCCACAAAGCACCAGGAAACCTCTAATAGCAACTACAGGCCACTGTGTCTCCTCCACTGTCCTGTGAGGCCAGTGGTGTGGGTCATGGACGGCTGTATCATCTGCGCTTCTTCTCAAATAGATAATGATGCCATATGTAAGACCATACACACCTGAAGGACCTAGGAACGTGTGTGTAGTCATTGAGAACCCCCCACATGATCCATGTACCCTGTCTGACTCTTAAGTGCCCACCTACTCTACAACATGTAGTTATTCACACACTTCAAATGCTATGTGGGCACCTTGTTTGGAATCCAATGCTAATAAGACAATTGCAAAATAGTCTGTAAGACATAATAGATGGAATTAGAATGGTGAATATTTAATGATACCAAATATTGTTGTGATGGGATAATAATGTGATTATGCTTAGAAAATGAATGTTTACTTTTTTCAGTTAAGTATTACTATTTGTAGGTAAAGGGCTATGGATGTAAGGAATTTGCTTGAAAATAATCTCATGGCTGTGCAGGGAGTAGCTGGGAGTAATTATCAGTTTCCTGTAGCTCCTGTCACCGATTGTTGCAGAACAGGGCTGAGACAACAGAACTGTGATCTGTCACTCTGTGAAGGCCAGAATACGGAGGGGAAGGTGTCCATGGGGCCTCGCTTCTCTGGAGGATCCTTCACAGCCTGTCCCAGGCTCTGGTGGCCTCTGCATTCCATGGCTTCTGAAGCTATGACCACATCACACTTCCACCTCCTCACACTCGCCTGATTCTTTCTTCTTGTTATGGGGACATTTGTTATTTGATTTAGGATTTTCATGGACAATAGAGGAGGATTTTATGTTAAGTTCCCTCAGTAATTTACACAAGAAGAAAAGACTTTTCTCAAATAAGATCATGTTCATAGGATCAAGGCATCTGCAAACAGATCTACTTTTCAGGGGCTACTGTAACAGAGCCCACTCACTGGATGCTGAAGCAGAATAATGAGTAGTTTTAAGGTCATTACATTATTTTCCCTATTTTGCATTACTTACAAGTTTTCTATTAAAAATTTAATTATCTTATTTATACAGTTGCTACTATTCTCAGCTTGTGTCAGATCATGGGGACTAGACTCAAGATGATGTCTTTGCCTCTAGGAACTCCATGTCTGTAGAGGTATAGGAGAACTCTGTACTACCTCACAATTTTTGTTTTCTAAATTTAAAACCATTCTGAAATTAGAAATTAATAAAACAAAAGTGACAAAAATATAAAATTAAAGTGTGTATGTATAATTTTTAATATACAACTCTCAGAAGTCTAGTCTTCATCTATTCTGAGATCGTATTTCTTTTTATTATATATATATGCAACTATGTTTTTCAAATTAAAGGTGGAGTTCGAAGAAATTGAAAAAAAGCTTATGGAGGAAACTGATAGGAAATACATAATGCAAAGACATGTTTGGAAATACAGCTTAGGGAAAACATAACAGGAGATGTAGATAGAATATTCCAATCAGAACAAAGTGTGTGAAAAGAGGTCCATAGGCTAGGAAGGCTAATGTGAGTGAGTCAGGGAGTTAAACCATGCAAGTAGTATTGCTAGATTTAGTAGATAAAATGGACACTCAGGTAAATGTGAATTTCAAATAAAGTATGTATATTTTTTTGTGCAGCTATTTACCATGCAACGTAAGGGCACAATTATGCCATAAAGCTACTTATTATATTGTTGAAACTCACCTGTAACCAAGTGCCCATTATTTTGCTTGGTAAACCAATATGGAATTTTCCAGCAAGCCATGAGCTGCTTTTTACACACCCTCAGCTCCCGGCTTGGCTCACAGTGGCATTTTTCATCTTAGTCCTTTCTCCAATTTATGAAAACCCTGGAGTTTTTTTTTAATGGTTCTTCTCTAACTGGCAAAAGGAGTGACCTATCTGAAAGTTTTGTTTAATCTTTTGTTGCCAACCTTAAAAAGTAACATATTAACCAACTGTGTCCTGACAGGCCTATGACTAAGCAATTTCTTCTAATCAAGTATAGAATTCTGTTGCCCCTGGATTCTGTGGGAGTGTCTTTTCCCTGACTGGACTCTCTCCTTTCAATGGGAATGAGTTATTGAAACGAATAAATAGCTGATAACACATCAGGAGCTGGTACTGAATTTTGGGCTAAGAGGTGACAACACTTTACAAGGTAAATACTGATCTTACAGATCTTATGTTTCCTTATACTTCCCTCTCAGATACTTGGAAAAAATACTTTAGGATAAGAAAATGCCTTTATATACTAACTTTTAACCCTCTTTCTGTACTTAGTTGATAGTTCAGCTTATTTATTTTCTCTTTTAAACATACCTTTGCAGAAATGTAAAAATGAAAAATCTAGAAAACTAGAGCATGAGATAGCAGTAGTATAAGAAAAAATTAATAGCATGAAGAGAACAGAGATGGTAGCATTTTAGACAACTATGAATATAATCAAAACAAGAAGAATATGGTAGTTTATGCTGAAATTGTTGTCTTTGATAGAGAAGTTAACATATATTTGTTGTGAATTGTGATGGAAAACTTGAACTTTATTGTTATAGGAAAAATATTAACTTGAATGTAGGAAACTAGATTATAATTCAGTTTTAGCTACTAATGTGTTAGATTACAAACCTCATGCTCTCTCTGGGATTCAATCAATTCATGGCAAACCTAATGAACTGCTAAGGCAGGGTTTCTCAAGTTTGGGTAGTTCTTTGTGTAGAGAGCTGATCTGTCCATTGTAAGATGTTTAGATACTTCTCCCCACCTGATGCTCTGGCACTATACCTAATCTCATACCCATACTCATACTCATAACCACAAATGTCTTCAGACATTATTCAGTGTTCTCTGGCATCAGGGAGCATTGATTGAAAATCACTGGACTAGAGGCTAACTCAAGCATTCACTCATCATAATTGATGAGAAATTGGCCAGTGCCGCGGCTCAATAGGCTAATCCTCCACCTGCGGTGCTGGCACTCCGGGTTCTAGTCCCGGTTGCCTCTCTTCCAGGCCAGCTCTCTGCTATGGCCCGGGAGTGCAGTGGAGGTTGGCCCAAGTTCTTGAGCCCTGCACCTGCATGGGAGACCAGGAGAAGCACCTGGCTCCTGGCTTCAAATCAGCGCAGTGTGCCGGCCACAGCGTGCCGGCTGCGGCGGCCATTGGAGGGTGAACCAACGGCAAAGGAAGACCTTTCTCTCTGTCTCTCTCTCCACTGTCCACTCTGCCTGTCCAAAAAAAATAGTTGATGAGAATTAAAAATAGTCAATGGAACATATAACTATTTTTACAAACCATGCAAGCATCTAGCTATAGTATACAGGCTAATAAGATTAGAATGTTGGTGTCAACAATGCCCTGAAAGAATGGTAATAATGGGAAAAAATGAAATTCTTACCAAGAAACTACCATGGAAATCAGTGAAATTCTCTGAAAGAGAGCACCCATGGGGGAAGACATTGATATAGCAATGAAGAAAAGTAGCTGTAAGATGCCTCAGGGAGCAATGGATGATGATGAGGTGAGGTTCTGACCTGAAAGGAAGAAAAGCTAATATTTAGAGGGTGCAAAATCTGCTGAAGCTGCAAACTGAGATGTTCCCCTCGCAGGTAAGAGTCATCTGGGCACAAAGGGCAGAGTCCTCAATTCTCTCAGCCTGGCAGCCTTCTTACCTTGCTCTGAATTGCTTTACTGAAGAATCATGATTTCCGGGTTAGAGTTTCCAGGAACCCATAGAGTGATGTCACTGGAAGGCACACTCTGTGTCAGGTGTCTGCAAGCCTGTGGCGCTGACCAGATTAAAACCCTTTAGGGAAAGGTTCAGATTAGACTGGTGCCTTGTTCCCTACCAATATTCATTAAAGCTTGATTCACAGAAACTACTGAATGAGTGTTATTTAGGAGGTTTGATTGGAACTTCATAAAGGAAGACAATGTATTCGTGTGTACAGCAGAAACAAAGAATTGTAGAAGGGTCCATGAAATGGTGCATTTCCCAGTAAGGGACAGGTTGTTGGAGAGAAGTGATCACTTTCAGTGAGACCCGACACTGGAGCTTTGAAAAGCTGGAGGGAGAGATCCAGTTAGTTTCCCAGTCATTTTGCTGGGATCCAGAAAAAGGGGGTCTGGGATTCTGGTTCCAAGGAGGGAAAGAGAAAACAGAAGCAGTTGAGACCTAGCCAGAAGTACAAACCCTGTCTGGTGGATGATTTGGAAACCGATCTAGGGTCTGAGCAATTCTGTGTTAATCTGTGCCCTGTCTCCCTGAACTTTCACCAAAAACTTGTCCTCATCTGGGTTGCCAATTAATGAATATCAGTAACCTGAGCACTGAAGCTACAAAAGAAGAGTCATGACATGATTTCATCAAAAAGATCTAGGTTCCACATAAACTCTCATGCCTACTTGAGTTCTATGAGCACATTATGAAAGGAGAGAGAGCTAATGATGGATGGCTTGATAGATATATAATTAGGTATACTATTGATAGAAACATGATAGATGGAATTATGGAAAGATCGTGGATGGAATGATGGATAGATAAAATGGACAAACAGATATGTGGTCAGAGAGAAAGAAAAGGGAGAACACATATATTACCAGTGTGCTCAGAGACTCACTGATCTCCCTGGATCTGGGGCAAAAATGAACATTCATTTGCTGAGCCTGAGTGTGAATTTTGCATGGTTATCTCATTAAACTTTCTCAACAGCATTCAAAAATAGATATGGGAGCAGGCATTTGATCTAGCATGGAAGATGCTAGTTAAGATGCCCACATCCCATATCTGAGGACCTAGGTTTGAACCCTGTACAACTCCCATTTCTGGCTTCTTGCTAATGCACACATTGCAAGGCAGTAGATGACATCACAAGTAGTTAGGTCCTTGCCACCCATGAGGGAAACTTGGATTGAGTTCCTGGCTTTCTGGACTAGCTGTGGTCCATGTGGGCATTTTGGAAGTGAACCAGCAGGTGGGAGTGCTCTCAGTGTCTGTCTTTCTCTGACTCTCAAATTAAAACAAAAAGATGTATACCTATATAGCAAAAGGAGGTATACCTATATAGCAAATAAGACTCAGATTAAACAGCCTATCAAGTTTATGTACCTCCTAAAAAGGGATGTGATTTACCTCTAAGTGCTCCTTCTCCCTGCTTTTTTTTTTTTTTTTTTTTTGCCAGGCAGAGTTAGACAGTGAAAGAGAGAGAGAGAAAGGTCTTCCTTCCATTGGTTCACTCCCCAAATGGCCGCTACGGCCAGTGCTGCACCAATCCGGAGCCAGGAGCTGGGTACTTCCTCCTGGTCTCCCATGCGGGTACAGGTGCTCAAGCACTTGGACCATCCTCTGCTGCCCTCCTGGGCCACAGCAGAGAGCTGGACTGGAAGAGGAGCCACTGGGACTAGTACCCGGCACCTCAACCGGAACTAGAACCCAGGTGCTGGCACCACAGGTGGAGGATTAGCCAAGTGAGCCATGGCACCGGCCCTCGGCCCTCCTTCTCTCTGCCAAGAGAGAGGCTAATTAGAACCACCCAGGCAATGCAAACTATCACTGCAACTGTCATGGATTAAATGCTTTTGAAAATAAGCCTACTTACAAGTTGAATTAAATATTGTTTAAGTATTCACATTTTAATGTAGGGTATTTTTGGACATCTACTCAATGTAGCAGTTAAGGTTCTACTTGGGGTACCTTCATTTTGTACTACCGTGCCTGGGTTTCAGTCCTGAAAATTTTCCCAGTGTTTTAGGTTGTTAAGTTAAATAAAGCAAGGCATACTTTTATGAATTTGATAACTTCAAACAAGCTTCTAAAGAGCTCATAACATGAAAGAACTTATGTATTAGATATTTTCATCTCTCACCTCCACTTTTAGTTGACTAATGGACACTGAGAAAATATAAAACAGGTCCACAAAGGGAAGCCCAGTGGATAGGTGAGTTTCCATGGTGGAACAGAAAAGCCTGGATCTGAAATTAGAAGGAGGAGCTCCCACTGACCCTGAATCTCACAGAGTGGGGCGTGGGAAGCTGCTCTCTCACTAGCCTTCAGGGCTCCTCTGTTAGGAGGGCACTGGGAGCTGTTTCCCAGGGCCATGGTAGAAATGAGACCCCCTCCCTAGGTGCTAAATGTGAAGGAGGAACACAGGTGGGTGACCCCACGGCAAGTCATCATGTCTCCCTTATTCTCATTCCCTGTTGACCTAGCAGGGCTTTGTGGTGACCTTTGCCTCAGTCTTGGAAACTTTGTATTAAAGAGAATGAGAAAGTTGTTTACCAGGAAGAGCATTATCACAAATGCTGTGTGAGATCAAAGTTCATTTCTCATTGAAATGAGATCCTACGTCAACAGCTAAGGGAGTTTAAGGTGAGGATCAAAACTACTTAACTCTGTGCACTCTGGACCCTAACAATTACACATCTGTCTCCCTGGTGTAAGCCTCACTCTCCTTTTCATTCTGCTGGTTTGTGCCACCTCTGTTTCCCAAACAGCAAAACACAATATACACCACATCCATTGTAAGACAAATGAGTTAGGTAAGTTTGCTTCTTAAAGGCTTTTTACTTTCTAAAAGCCAAATTATTAAACCCCACATTGGGTTTCTGTTTAAATTTCTGTCTCCCTCCCCCCTTTTTAATTGAAAGGCAGAGACAGGCACAAAGACAGGACATTCCTCATCCTCTGGCTCACTCCCTAAATACCTGCCACAACTTTAACTGGGCAAGGCAAAACCATGTCACACATGGGTTGTCAGTACACAACTACCTGAGCCATCATCTGCTGCCACTCAGAGTGCACACTAGCAGAAAGCTAAAATTGGGAGTGGGACTGGGACTCAAATCCAAGCACAACAATACATGATCTGGGCAATTTTATAACAGAGATTGATATTTAGAGAGAAAATGCAACCATTCTTCCCTAAGTTCTAGCACTGAGACTCCTACATTTAATGACTCCTGCATGTTTTCCTTCATACCCATGATAGAACTGGTTATTTAATTTGATTGTGTCACATCCTCTTATTCTCTGCTATGTTCTACCCACCTGGGATAGAGCAAGGGCATCAGACTTTACCGACCAGGCACAATCAGTATGCCTCTTACCATTGACAATCAAAAAATCAACATGTGGGAGAGAACGATCCATCATGGGAAGCGGGATACACAGCAGACTCATAGAATGGCAGATGTCCTAAGTAGCACTTTGGCCTCAGATTCAGCCCTTAAGGCATTCGGATATGGCTGAAGAGCCCATGAGAGTATTTCAGGCGTGGAAAGCCAAGACACTCTGGAAAAAAAAAAAAAAAAAGAAGACCTAAATGAAAGATCTCTGAGAGTGAGATCCCAGAAAGAACAGGCCATCAAAGAAGGAGGTACCTTTCTCTGAAGGGAGGAGAGAACTTCCACTTTGACTATGACCCTGTCGGAATAAGATCGAAGTCAGCAAACTCAAAAGACTTACATAGCCTTGGCAACTCATGACAAGAGCCTAGGGAGATTACTGACACCATAAACAAAAGTGCCAAATTGTTAAGTGAACAACAGGAGTCACTGTGTACTTACTTCTCATGTGGGATCTGTCCTTAATGTGTTGTCCAATGTGAAGTAATACTATAACTAGTACTGAAACAGTATTTTACACTTTGTGTTTCTGTGTGGGTGCAAACTGATGAAATCTTTTCTTAATATATACTAAATCGATCTTCTGTATATAAACATAATTGAAAATGAATCTTGATGTGAATGGAATGGGAGATGGAGCGGGAGATGGGAGGGGTGCGAGTGGGAGGGAAGTTATGGGAGGGGGAAAGCCATTGTAATCCATAAACTGTACTTTGGAAATTTATATTTACTAAATAAAAAATTAAAAAAAATCAACATGTGTATGGTTCACACATGTATACACAAATCCTCCTAACTGAAACTAAACATTTGTGAAACATAACTTACTCTTTCTATATGTAATGAACAATTTATTTTCTATTTTATTTAAAAATAATGGCTTTTACAATACACTGAAGACTGGTCATACATACTTTGGAAGATACTAGCAGAGAAAATAAATCTCAATCTTTGATTTTAAATAGAAGTGGGTTTGGTACAAAACTTACATTGAGCAAACCACCTTTGAATCATTAGTACCCACATCTAAAATGAGAATTGCAGCAGAATTCTACCTCTACATTTTTGAGACTGCCAATGTGTGACAGACACTGATCAAAAGTTAGCTCCTTTTCATTTGCTATAAAGTCAAATGCAGCAGCATTTTGTTTCCAGATAACAAAATAAAATGCCCAGAGCAGAGTAGAATATATAATACCAGAAGAAGCAAGTAATCAGAATCCTCTGTTGATGGAAAGTTTTTGCATCTTTTGAGCTATAAATTATTAAACCATTCTGGGACCTAATTTCTGCTTTTGGTCATATGTAACCTCACAAAGAGCTGAAGTGAAACTTTGTTCCCTTTCTGATCCTCCCATTTAGTGATGTCCTCTAGTTCCAATGCCACATTCAAGTCCCAAGGCCTTTTATTATGTGGGTTCCAAACTTGCCCTCTTGTTAGTCTTGATGTGGATTCTCACGTCCATCTGTGATGGAGGGTGACTATGCACATTGCATTTGATTCTTCTACACTTGGATGTATAAACAACAATTGAGATAATTATGAGTTCAGGAACTATTATGAGGATTAAACACATAATACACCAAGAAGAATTAGGGTTGGTATAGTATCATTAAAGAGATGCACAATCAGTCTCATTCTCTAGTTCTTCCTCCTCCCAAAAACTTCCATATAGACCTTGCACAATGAATTCTCATTATTAGTCTGCCAAGAGCAGTCACATTTTAGCCAGTGGGGACTTGAGACTGGTTTTGGTGCTTGTGAAGATGACTACTGATAGGTAACAATTTTAGCCAAATAAGGCCTTCCAGGAGCTTTTCTAATCCTGCCATAAAGAAGGCAGACACTGGGGCTGGTGTTTGGCACAGAAGTTAAGACACCATCTGGGATGCTTACATCCCTTATCAGAATTCCTGTGTTCCAGTCCTAGTTTCACTTCAGAATCTATCTTCCTGCTGATGTTCACCTTAGGAAGCAGTAGGTCATGGCTCAAGTAGGTGGTCCCTGCCATGATTATTGGAGAAACAGATTGAATTCGCACTTTTGGGTTTTTGCCTGGCCCAGCCCTGGCTGTTGCAGGTATTTGGAGAGTAAATCAGCAAATGGAAGATGTCTGTCTCTCTGTGTAATTGTTTGACTTTCAAATAAGCAAAATTTTAGAAATAAAAGAAGATACCTCTTTAGTATTTTAGAGCTATTTAGCCATACATCATAAAATGCATGCTTTTATTTCATGGTTTCATTCATTGATCCATTTATTCATGTTTAGAGAAACCAAGACACCACTACAATGGCGGGGAAGCCCAAGCTTCATTACTTCAATGGAAGGGGAAGGATGGAGTCCATCCGGTGGCTCTTGGCTGCAGCTGGGGTAGAGGTAGGTTCTGTATTAGATCATCTTCAGTTGAATCTAATATTGACTGCATCAGATGCTTTTCTCAAATAAACTGGAAGATGTGTCTTATTGGATGACCTGAAAAAAAGTGGTCCCTTAAATATAAATTGCCAGTTATGAAGAAAGAGATTAACAACTTTGATTAAATAAATTTTTTTTTATTTTTTTTATTTATTTATTTAATGAATATAAGTTTCCAAAGTACGAATAATGGATTACAATGGCTTCCCCCCCATACCGTCCCTCCCACCCACAACCCTCCCCTTTCCCACTCCCTCTCCCCTTCCATTCACATCAAGATTCATTTTCGATTATCTTAATATACAGAAGATCAGCTTAGTATACATTAAGTAAGGATTTCAACAGTTTGCTCCCACACAGAAACATAAAGTGAAAAATAATAGATGATTTTTTTTTAATGATGATGAAATCAGATCAGACCTATTGTCATGTTTAATCCCAGTGAGAGTCAAGTTGGGAGTTGATAGTTTTTTTTTTTTTTTTTTTACAGAGGATCAGTTTAGTATGCATTAAGTAAAGATTTCAACAGTTTGCACCCCCATAGAAACACAAAGTGAAATATACTGTTTGAGTACTCGTTATAGCATTAAATTTCAATGCACAGCACATTAAGGACAGAGATCCTACATGAGGAGTAAGTGCACAGTGACTCCTGTTGTTGACTTTACCAATTGACACTCCTGTCTATGGCATCAGTAATCTCCCTATGCTCCAGTCATGAGTTTCCAAGGCTATGGAAGCCCTCTGAGTTCTCCGATTCTTATCTTGTTTTGACAAGGTCGTAGTCAAAGTGGAGGTTCTCTCCTCCCTTCAGAGAAAGGTACCTCCTTCTTTGAAGACCTGTTCTTTCCACTGAGATCTCACTCACAGAGATCTTTTGCCAGAATGTCTTGGCTTTCCATGCCTGAAATACTCTCATGGGCTTTTCAGCCAGATCCGAATGCCTTTAGGGCTGATTCTGAGGCCAGAGTGCTATTTAGGACATCTGCCATTCTATGAGTCTTCTGAGTATCTCACTTCCCATGTTGGATCACTCTCCCCTTTATTTATTCTGTCGGTTAGTGTTAGCAGGTACTAGACTTGCTTATGTGCTCCCTTTGACTCTTAGTTCTTTCATTATGATCAATTGTGAACTGAAATTGATCACTTGGACTAGTGAGATGGCATTGGTACATGCCACCTTGATGGGATTAAATTGGAGTACCCTGGTATGTTTCTAACTCTACCATTTGGGGCAAGTCAGCTTGAGCATGTCCCAAATTATACATCTCTTCCCTCTCTTATTCCTACTCTTGTGTTTAACAGGGATCACATTTCAGTTAAATTTCAACACTTAAGAATAACTGTGTATTAATTACAGAATTAAACCAGTCATATTAAGTAGAACAGACAAAAAAACTACTAAGAGGGATAATGTATTAAGTTGTTCATTAACAGTCAGGGCTATGCTGATCAAGTCACCGTTTCCCATAGTGTCCATTCCACTTCAACAGGTTTCCTTTTTGGTGTTCAGTCAGTTGTCACCAATCAGGGAGAACATATGGTATTTGTCCCTTTGGGACTGGCTTATTTCACTCAGCATGATGTGTTCCAGATTCCTCCATTTTGTTGCAAATGACTGGATTTCGTTGTTTCTTACTGTGGTATAGTATTCTAAAGAGTACATATCCCATAATTTCTTTATCCAGTCTACCATTGATGGGCATTTAGGTTGGTTCCAGGTCTTAGCTATTGTGAATTGAGCTGCAATAAACATTAGGCTGCAGACCGCTTTTTTGTTTGCCAATTTAAATTCCTTTGGGTAGATTCCAAGGAGTGGGATGGCTGGGTCGAACGGTAGGGTTATCTTCAGGTTTCTGAGGGATCTCCAGACTGACTTCCATAGTGGCTTGACCAGCTTGCATTCCCACCAACAGTGGGTTAGTGTCCCTTTTTCCCCACATCCTCTCCAGCATCTGTTGTTGGTAGATTTCTGAATGTGAGCCATTCTAACCGGGGTGAGGTGGAACCTCAATGTGGTTTTGATTTGCATTTCCCTGATTGCTAATGACCTTGAACATTTTTTCATGTGCCTGTTGGCCATTTGGATTTCCTCTTTTGAAAAATGTCTATTGAGGTCCTTGGCCCATCTCTTAAGTGGGTTGTTGGTTTTGTTTTTGTGGAGTTTCTTGATCTCCTTGTAGATTCTGGTTATTAACCCTTTATCTGTTGCATAGTTTGCAAATATTTTTTCCCATTCTGTCGGTTGTCTCTTCACTCTCCTGACTGTTTCTTTTGCAATACAGAAACTTCTCAATTTGATGCAATCCCAATAGTTAATTTTGGCTTTGACTGCCTGTGCCTCCTGGGTCTTTTCCAGAAACTCTTTGCCTGTGCCAATATCTTGAAGGGTTTCTCCAATGTTCTCTAGTAACTTGATGGTGTCAGGTCGTAGATTTAGGTCTTTAATCCATGTTGAGTGGATTTTTGTGTAAGGTGTAAGGTAGGGGTCTTGCTTCATGATTCTGCACGTGGAAATAAATTGTTAAAATGTTTCTCTTACAAAAGCATAATAATTACAATAAATTTAAGATACTAATCATAATGTGTATTTGGATTTTAAAAACCATTAGAATAATTTATGTCATTGACACAACACTTAGAAATAATCTGGATATTTATTGATATTAGAGAATTATTATTGATAACATGTGATAATAGTGTGTGAAATAGTTCTTATAGTTTGTAGAAACATTGAATATTTAAGGATAGAATACAGTTATGTGTCTCTTAGTAGCAGATACATCCTGAGAAATGTGTCATCATGTGATTTCATATGGAGAACATGGTAGTGTGTACCCACACAAACTTAGATGGCACAGCTACTACACACTTAGGCCATATAATTTAGTCTATTGCTACTAGGACACAAATCTGTCCAGGATGCTACTTTGCTTAATCATTCAGGTAATTGGAAATTAGCGGAAAGTGTGTATTTAAACATTTATAAATATAGAAAAGATTCAGTAAAATATTATATTAAAGACTAAAAAGGTACACCTATGAAGGCCACTTACCATGAGTGGAATCTTTTGATGCTAGAAGCTGCCCTAGGTGGGTCAGTGAGTGAGTAGAAGAGGGTGAGTGTGAAAGTATGGGACATTGCTATCTACTGCTGTAGACCTACAAACACTTGGATCTGAGCTGCACTCAATTCACTAAAATATTTCTTTGTTCAATAATAAAATAACCTCAACTTAATTTAACTTTTTTATAACTTTATAAAATTAATAACTTTATAAACTTTTTCATTCTTTTGTAATGACACTAAGCTTAAAACATAAACAGTTGTACAGCTATACAAAATATTTTTCCTTTTATCCCAATTCTGTAAGCTTTTTTTTATTTTAAATATTCTTAGGTATTTGTATCCTTTCAATTAAAAAAAATTTTTTTTAAACCTGAAACAGAAACACGTACACTGGGGCAGGTGTACCCAGGGTCAGGATTATCAACATCACTGTCGGCAGCTCCACATCTCTTTCCACTAGAAGATCTCCAACTGCAGCACACTCGTGGAGCAGTCGCCTCTGTGGTTACAGTGCCTTCTCCTGGGTCGCTTCTGAAGGGCCCTCTGAGGTTCTTCTTGAGGATGTGCCATTCTTTTGGACATGTCCATGTTGATTTGCTTGGTTTGTTTCATTTTTTGTCATAAATCTGCTTGTAAACAGTGCACTATGATCAGTCCTCTCCACTAATGAAAATATTTTAGTGTTGAGTTCTATGTTTATAAACTTCTTAAAGAACTTGTTAACCTCTGCACAACTTTCTACTAAGTCCTTTACTGTGAATTTTCTTGAAGGTTCTTCATCTTTTTCTTCTTTGCATTTTTTTCTTTCCTCATGGCTCAGCACCAGTCTCCTGCTCCTAAGAGACAGGTATTTCTAGTTGCTTTGTAATCTTATGGGAAAACCACTGTATGAGCAAACTTCAAAAACCATATGGAAAATCAAAATTAAGAGATAAGTTATTCTGGTGCAAAAATTTTTCAACTCCAAAAAATTTTTGAAGTATGGATCTATATTTTCCATGAACTTATTGAAGACATAGTTTGTGATCGACAGAAATGTTGCTGTTCAGAACTTGACTATATTGAATATCTTGGATGCCCATCAAACTGTGACAAGTGAGAAGTGATTGGGTATGCAGCTAGGTGAAAGGAAATTGACTTTTGTGATAATTGAAGGTAGGTAAGGATACAAAGATCAACATTATTCTTTCTTGTTTGTACATGTTAAAATTTTCCCTAATAAGTGAACAGAAATGTTTAATACAAGGCAGCAGAGGAAATTAAAGTTAACATACAAATCATGAATGAAAAGCAGGAGGAATGGGTTGTAATAAACTGCCTTCTAAGGAGGAAATCATTCACTTGCAATTATTTTGTTGAGTCCCTAGTAAGTCCCATGTTCTGTCTCAGGGATACACAGTGAACAAGAAAGACACAGTCCATGCCCTTGGCTTGTCTGTATATCTATGAGGAGCAGACAAGTAAATCTGTGGCTGAATTGAAAGATTCAAGGATTAAAAGGCCATTTTTCTTTGTGTTTGAACATGAAATGCTAACAGTTGTTTGTGTGACTCTGTTTAGTGCTGCCCCTTTTTTCAGAATCTTAAATGGTCAATAGCCCCTGGCAAATCTGCTGGGGGCACACCAAGGTCTGTTCTTACCTCATGTGACACACAAGCTTTCCTGAGGTACCACAACTAAATTATTAGAAAAACTTCACAGTCCCTTCCCTCAAAGGCATATAAGGGTATAAGGTAAAGGTGCAAACAAAGTGAACTTAAAAGAATGAGCAACTGTGTTCTAGGACCCTTTTCTTGATTGATCTAATTTTCCAAATGACCATCACCCGACTCCTCTGTGGACCTGCCAAGTTCAGAAATCTTACCTTCTCCTCTTTATGTACCACGCAGGGCCTATTCAAATGTAATACCTGGTAATACTATGACATGAACTAACACAAACTCATTTACTCTTTCTATATTCAGTTTGAAGAGAAGTTTATAGAAACTCGAGAAGACTGGGATAGGATAAGAAAAGGTAAGACCATCTATTTAAATGACTCTGATGAGGGTATCCAGTTTAAATACCAGGCAATGCCTATCCATTTTTACTGTGGTTTTATGGGTGGTGGGACAGAGAGAGTGTTTATATTGCAAAAGGCAAGACTCCTGGAGCAGGAAGCAACTCCCTCAAGTCAGGCAACTTTCTTGTGTTCTTTCCTCTCCCTGGTTTGACAAGGTGATTGCCCAGCAATACTGTGGGTTTGATAATGAGATGGTGCTGATTTACTTTCAAGCTCAGGTAACAGCATGGGGGAGAAGGGAGAGGAAGAGCAAGGACCAACATCTGTGGGATCAAGCATACAGGCCTTCCACATTGTCCAATGGTGTTATCCAAAGAGAACACAAAGGACCCTACACAGAAATCTCTCTCAAAACCATTCTTTGTGTCATGAACATCACAAGACACTGGGAATGTGGGACCTTAAATGGTACCTGGCTGCTCCAGTAAAGACCCCACCAAATTCTTTCTACAATATCCATGAAGACAAAGTAAGCACAAAACATATTAGGATGTGCAATATATCTGGTTGGAAAAAATGTCTATTGAATGTCAGGGTAGAAACTAAAGGAAAATCAATAAGAGAAAGGATTACAGGAAACTAAAAATGTTAGCTTGCTTCAAAGCTAACAACTAAAAATTTTAGTTTAATTTTACATATTCAGTCATTTCCAAAGCACTTTTTAAATCTTCAAAGAGTGGGAATCATAGACATTTCATTCTTCTTTTTGTTTTCTTCTATCCAAAGATGGGAGTTTGATGTACCAGCAAGTGCCCATGGTTGAGATTGATGGGATGAAGTTGGTGCAGACCAGGGCTATTATCAACTACATTGCCAACAAACACAACCTCTATGGGAAAGACATGAAAGAGAGAGCCCTGTACGGTATATTTTTTGTTCTCACATCAGCAAATGACACAGGGATGATGTGGGTCCTGCTTTGAGTGAGCAGGACCGTGACATGGGTATGAAGAGGTCCATGGTAGCAAAGTCTTATGGAGATGTGGGAAGGCTGGGGGGATAAGTGAACCTGGAGGATATATACCAACATTTGGGTGAAGGGAATGGATTCTGGCATTCTGCAGCACAGTGAAAGCAACTATAATTTACAATGGTGTATGCTGTCTAAAGATTTGGTAGAGAGGAGCTGGTAGACTCCAAACATGAAGAAAAGATGATGAATTGGAATGGCTAGTTGCCATATGCTTGGTTTATGCTGTTTATTTCTGTTAAAATATCATACTGAACCCCATACATTGTATAAGTATTATATGTTAATGCAAAATTCAAAAAGCTACTTAGAACTACATCCAGGAGATGAAGATCCTTGCCAAGCCTAACTTAACAGAATTCTTGTTCAAGTCAGGCCAGAATGATTATATATCTAGTGTGGAGGGTGAGGATTAAATATCAAATGTGAGCAGATATCAAGGGAGAGGGGATTCTCATAGAAATGACTCAAGAGGATTCATGCTACAAGACAGGCTGACCAAAGTCTGTCCCAAAGACAAATTCCACTTGAGAAAAAGACTCAGAGAAACATGAGTAAAGTTGGGGTGCCTTTGTCAGAACCTTAAGGGCTAACAAGTAATAGAATTATCTTATAAACAGTTAAATGGAAGACAGAATTTCAACACTTTAGAAAAATTAGAATTTAATGAATTATTTAAATCCATAGTTCTAAAAAAAATTTAAAAGATCTAAGGCAGGAGCATTTGACCATTGGTTGCTTGTGTCTCCCAGGATTGATATGTATGTGGAAGGTGTGGCAGATTTGAATGAAATGACCATTGTTTTCCCCGTGCATCCACCTGGGGTAAAAGAAACAAAGCTTTCTGAGATCAAAGACAAAGCAAAGAATCGCTATTTTCCTGCCTTTGAAAAGGTGAGTGGAAGCTTTTAAAGTTTTTTGTAAAAAGATTTATTTATTTATTTGAAAGTCAGAGTTAGAGGTAGAGTTAGAGACAGGACAAACAGAGAGACATCTTTCATCCGCTGGTTCACTTTGCAAATGGTCCCAATGGCCAGAACTCAGCCAGGTCAAAGCCAGAGCCAGGAGCTAGGGATTCCATCCGGGTCTCCCATGAGGGTGGCAGGGGACTATGTACTAGGGGCGTCATCTACTGTTTTCTCAGGTGCATTATCAGGGAGCTGGATAGAAAGCAGAGCAGCCGGGATTTGAACCAGCCCTCATATCAGATGTTGGCATCACCTGCTGTCCCAAGATGCTGGCCCCTCTGCTTTTTAACTTACAAAGGGCACAAAAATATGGAGGGAATCTTAGCAGTTGAATGTGCTATTGTAACAATATACCATAAAGTGAGGGAGTCTAACAACAGAGGTCTTTCACAGTCCTAGAGGATGGAAAGTACAAGATCAATGCAATGGCAGATCCAGGAATTGATGAGGACTTGCTTTTAGTTGACAGACATCCCTCTTCTGGCTGTGTCCCCACATGACAGATGATTATGGGGATTCTTGGGGTCCCTTCTATAGTAGCTCTAATGCCATTCATGGATGTTCCATCCTCATAACCCAGTCACCTCCCAAAGATTCCACCTACTACAGCATCTCATTAAGGGTTAGGATCTCAGCATAAGGATTTGTAGGTTGACACAGACATTTGATCTGTTTAATTCCTAGGAAATTGAAAAGCTCATGAATATACATGAGCAAAGTTTATTACAATAATATAGTGTTTGATATATTGTTTTGTACCAGGTAGTCATCCAGCTTTTACATGTATATGTAAATATATGTATATCTTAGAGAATATTTGCCAAGATATTATCCTTAATTGATGTGCCACATGTGCTTCTTCTCCTCATTATTTATTATTGTAATATTACTGGGATATTTTAATTAATGTCACAAACAGCCACAAAATTAGTATACAAAATTTCATAAATCCACAAAAGATGAACAAAATATAAAATGAACATATATATATGCTTACCACCAGGATATCAAGCTTGATATCTTATTATCTTTGCTTGTCATACCTGTTCACCTCTCAACCCCTCTGTCCACCAAATGTCATTTCTTTCATGCGCTACAAAGTAGGTTGCAGACATCAGTGCAGTTCTCCCCAATGTAGATACTTCAACTGAAGATTATAACACTGGTGAGTTAGGAGTCATAACCAACGCTTCAAAAGAGATGATGAATTCAAGTTCAGCCAAGTTTACTTTAGATCCCAGACACACAGAGTAGGAAGACGAGAACTGTAGAGGCTGAAATAGTCTCCTCCTTGGAAGAAAGCTGTCATCAAGGTGGAGCTGTTGCCCAAATCTGGAGTTGAGACAAAGCAGAGTAGAGAAGCACAACTGGAAATGCCAGGGCTGCACACTTCAGAGTGTGGGGCACATGGCAATATGGGGCAGCAGGGGCTAAGCCTTTGGGACATGGTGAAGTTGCAAATGAGAGTGGATGGTGTGGATGCCACAGGGATGTGGGGATGAGAGGGAAATGGGAGCCCGGGCTCTAACCAAGGAGTACACAGATCCACACTTCATGCTCTCCTCCATGACCCAAGAGTTTTGGAAGAAGGTTTGAATCTTCTCTTCATGTCACCACCCCGACCCCAACACACACAACAAGACAGCAGAGCTGGGAGAGTTGGACTGGAGAGGCTCAGGGAGGAGCAGGGCTCCAGCCTGACTGCCTGTGACCATGATCTAATTCCTTAAATTCACCAGGTGTTGAAGAGCCACGGACAAGACTACCTTGTTGGCAACAAGCTGAGCAAGGCTGACATTCTCCTGGTTGAACTTCTCTACAACGTGGAAGAGCTCGACCCCAGTGCAATCGCCAGCTTCCCTCAGCTGCAGGTGACCTACTCACAGCCCTCAGAGGGAACAACCCATGTGTCCCACTTGGAATCTAATATTTATACTCTGGACTGAAGATGCTCTGAGTCTGAGCCTTCTCAAGTTCTTCATCCCTCCCTTGGGGTCAGGGGTTTCCAGGCTCTAGATCTAGTACATTAAAAATCATCTTGTTAAGCAAGAAAATCACAGATAAACACCACTGGAGAATATTTGCATTTTTAGAAAAGGACCCGAAACCCATCATGTCCTCTCTCTCAAGTCCCCTCTTCTCCTGTGCTATTCCTGATTTCTCTGTGATTCCATTCATCCCAGGTGTGTCTGTGTTTGTCCAAACTGAGTCCACCTGAGCAGGTCTCTTTCCGTGTGAATTCCCTTTCTCAGCTCTGCCTCTAACTGTCAGACTTTGTATTGCTATCTGCACAGTTCTCTCCCCACCCTCCTCTCCCACAACCCCTGCTGCTATATCATAGTGTGGAAATTGACTGTGACTGGCCCTTGATTAGCCTTTAATCTTTTGTATCTCCAATTGCTAATCAATTTCCCCACATTTCATTTGTCCTGTTGGAAACTTCTGTAAGTTGATACCTGACATACATATTGATCGTCACTATATTCTAAAAAACCCAAGAAGGTATAGAGTTAGGGTGTAAGGAGAAACTTGAGGATAACTGGAATGCAAAGTCTTAATAATGTCCTGGGGACTATGTTATTGAACTATATTTTCTTTCTTTTACCTTCATACTAACTAGGGTCTGTTCCCCAGCTTCCATACCGGTGCTGATGGAGGGGGCTCAGTTGATCTTTGTCTAGGAGGGCTCAGACTTCCTGAGCTGTGCTAATTAGGAGGTAGTCTTTGCTCCTCTCTGAGGCTGTGATTTGTGCACTGCAGGCCCTGAAAACCAGAATCAGCAACCTCCCCACCGTGAAGAAGTTTCTGCAGCCTGGCAGCCAGAGGAAGCCTCCTACAGATGAGAAAACGATAGAGGAAGCAAAGAAGATGTTCATGTAATAAAGCAGGTGTAGAAATAAGCCCATGTTATCCAGTCTTCTGAATGAAGTATATCCCTTATATTCTGATCCTGGTTGTTGTGAAACTAATAAACCTGTTTCAAATGATATTGATAATGAAGTAGTAACACTGTTCCGAGCCGACCACTAAAATTTCTTCCTTTTCATTAGGATCTCATATGAAATTAAATTTCTAATGTCCTTGTAGCCTTTTTCTATCTTGGAATTAAATATTGAAGGAGGAAAGAAAATGCACGTTATTTGTTTTTACTTTTCAAAATTTTGTCTGACAGTATCTGTCTTATCTGTCTTATGGTCTAAGAAAGCATCAAGTCTAGAAATTCACTTCTTTTTTTTTTTTTAAGATTTATTTATTTATTTGAAAGGCAAAGTTACAGAGAGAGATAGAGACAGAGGTCTTCCATCTGCTGGTTCACTCCCCAGATGGCTGTAATGGCTAGAGCTGGGCCAATCCAAAGCCAGGTGCCAGTAGCTTCTTCAGGGTCTCCTACGTGGGTTCAGGGGCCCAAGGAATTGGGCCATCCTCTGCTTTCCCAAGCTGCAGCAGAGAGCTGGATGGGAAGTAGAGCAGCCAGGACTTGAGCCTGTACCTATATGGGATGCTGGCACTTCAGGCCAGGGCTTTAATCCATGTGCCACATAAGTGGCCCCAAAATTCACTTCTGACATTCTCAGATGCGCCCAGGGCATACTTACCTTTCTGAGGAATGGCATAATGAAGTTTTTTTTTTCTTGAAGAGCTATCTTATTACTGATAAGGAAAATGTTCTTATTCAGTTTCAAAAAGTTACTGTGGCAACCATGAACTCTTCAAGGTGGTGAGAAACAAAACACACCTAACCTTTGCTTCCGGTTGATCCTGCTGTCTGTCATGGTGGGTGTACACCTTGCTCCTCCTCATCATGCCCTTTAATGCTCAGGGGGGTAATGGAGCATTTTTTTTAAAGATTTTTATTTATTTATTTGACAGGTAGAGTTACAGACAGTGAGAGAGAGACAGAGAGAAAGGTCTTTCTTCCGTTGGTTCACTCCCCTAATGGCCGCAACGGTCAGAGCTACACCAATCCAAAGCCCAGAGCCAGGTGCTTCTTCCTTGTCTCTCATGCGGGTGCAGGGGCCCAAGCACTTGGGCCATCTTCTACTGCTTTCCCAGGCCACAGCAGAGAGCTGGACTGGAAGAGGAGCAACTGGGACTAGAATTGGCGCCCATATGGGATGCCGGCAACGCAGGTGGAGGATTAACCTAGTGCGCCATGGTGCCGCCCTGGTAATGGAGTCGTATTGTCTGTGACACTGAAGCCTGAGCTTCCCTGATACAGATTCTATATGAGATCTGCTTACAGTGATTGTGGATGTTATTTGAATTACTATCTTCACTCCAAATCCAGGATGCTATTATCTTATTTTTCTAAATAAATAAAATGAAAAGATTTTTTCCAAATGAGGTCACATTTAAAGCATCAAAGAATTTTGACATGGACCTATCATTTAAGAGATTACTATAATTGAGCCCACCCCATAATATAATGAAAAAATATCTTTGCAGCTGCTGATGTAGATTAATGAGTAGTTTAGAGGTATTATGCATTTTCCCCACTTTTGTATTTTCTGATGGAACAAGGACATAAGCCTCAGCCCTTCTCCCTCATTGCCTAAAGGAGATAAGCATTGGGATGTATTCCTTGACCTTGAAACTCAATTGAGTCTCACACCCTATTGCCTTCATACCCCACCCTTGATTATTTTTCAGGTTCCCAAGGCCCCTGCCCAGGTCCTGGAATTCCCCTCCCTGCTGCCCCCTACCCCCACCCCAGCCCTAGCCCTCCTTAAAAAGGCCTGGCCCCTGGGGGTCAGGGCCTTCTGCTCCATCTTGTACACACAGGCAGTTGGTCACCCACCTCTGCAGATTTATTTTCGCTGAATAAATTCAGTCTGGCTGTAAATTCATGCATTGCCTCCTCTCTATCCTGCGACTCTTTTCCTAACATTTTGTTGCCCCGTGTGAGGAGGCACCAATCTACAACTCTTTTCCTAACATTTTCTAGAAATTTATTATTAAAAGTATTGAAGTATATAGAGAGTTACTACTATTCTCAGGTTGTGTTCAGACCGTGAGGACGGACCACAAATAAGATAGACTCTGCTCTTGGGAGCTCAAGTTCTGTGGAAGAGGCTGATATGAAATACATAAAGGCAAGAAAATGCTTGGAAAGTCATAATAGAGAAAATATAACAGGAGATGTAAGTAAAGTATTCTAATCAGAATAAAGAACATGTGCAAATGCCCAATAACTAGGAAGGCCAGTGTGAGTGAGGCAGGAAGACAAACCATGTAAGCAATACTGCTAGATTTAGCAGACAAATAGAGGCCACTAGGGAATCTGAATTGAACTAAACATAAAGTAGCCTTCAGTGTAACCATTTGCCATGCAAGGTTAGGGACATTGTTATACTAAAAAACGTCTCATCATATGGCTGATATAACCTACAGCTGAGTGTCTGTCATTTCACTTGGGAGACCAGCACGATCAGTTCTCCAGCAATGGGTCAGTTGTTATTTACAGACCTCCACCTCCCAAGCTACCTCATGGTTGTAATTTTTCATCTTTGTCCTTTATCCAATTATCCAACTCATGAAAACCCAAAGTAAGTTTCTTCAAAAAAGCAATTCCCTTCTAACTGGAAAAAGCTGCAAAATCTATCTGAAATTTTTGTCCCAGCTTTTACTGCCAACCTTTTGAAGAAACAATTAATGACTTTTATCCCAATAGGAGCATGGATAGCATTTTCCTTCTAGTCCAGTGAGGAACTCTGTGGCCTCTGAACTCTGTGGAAGTGGCTGTAACCTAACTGGATCCACTGCTTTCAGAGGAAACGAGTTATTGAAATGAATAAACAGCCCATTAGTACATCAGGAACTGGTATTAAGTTTTTGGGCCAAGAGGGAGACACTCATTATTACAAGGTGAGAACTGACCATAGAATCTTCCAGTATTTCCTCTTTGGAAAAATACTTTAAAATAAGTTCTTAGCACAAGAAAAAGTCATTTTATACTCACTTTGTATCCTCTTGATGTGGTTTGATGATAGTTAAAGCATTGCTTTTTTTCTTACTCTGTTGAATACACCTTAATAGAATTGTAAATATGTAAAAGTTATAAAACTAGAGCATCGGGCAGTAAATAGCATGAGAATATTAACATCAGAAGGAGAAAAAGAGATGGCAGCATTTTAGACAACTAAGAATATGACCAGAACAAGAAGACTGTGGCAGTTTATACTAAAATTGAGTTCTCTGAAGGCATAGTCAACACATATTGTAGTGAATTCTAATTTTGTAATAGTACCTAAGTGGGGAAGACTCAAAGTTAAAATTAATTCTAATAGGAATAAAATTAACCAAGCACATTAAAGATCTCTACAATGAAAATTACAAAAACTTAAAGAAAGAAATAGAAGAGGATACCAAGAAATGGAAAAATCTTCCATGCTCATAGATTGGAAGAATCAACATCATCAAAATGTCCATTCTCCCAAAAGCAATTTATACATTGAATGCAATACCAATCAAGATACCGAAGACCTTCTTCTCAGATCTGGAAAAAATGATGCTGAAATTCATATGGAGACACAGGAGACCTCAAATAGCTTAAGCAATCTTGTACAACAAAAACAAAGCTGGAGGCATCACAATACCAGATTTCAGGACATACTACAGGGTAGTTGTAATCAAAACAGCATGGTACTGGTACAGAAACAGATGGATAGACCAATGGAACAGAATTGAAACACCAGAAATCAACCCAAACATCTACAGCCAACTCATATTTGATCAAGGATCCAAAACCAATCCCTGGAGCAAGGACAGTCTATTCAACAAATGGTGCTGGGAAAATTGGATTTCCACGTGCAGAATCATGAAGCAAGACCCCTACCTTACACCTTACACAAAAATTCACTCAACATGGATTAAAGACTTAAATCTACAACCTGACACCATCAAATTATTAGAGAGCATTGGAAAAACCCTGCAAGATATAGATAGCGGCAATGACTTCTTGGAAAACATGCCAGAAGTACAGGCAGTCAAAGCCAAAATTAACATTTGGGATTGCATCAAATTGAGAAGTTTCTGTACTGCAAAAGAAACAGTCAGGAAAGTGAAGAGACAACCGACAGAATGGGAAAATATATTTGCAAACTATGCAACTGATAAAGGGTTGATAACCAGAATCTACAAAGAAATCAAGAAATTCCACAACAAAACAAACAACCCACTTAAGAGATGGGCCAAGGACCTCAATAGACATTTTTCAAAAGAGGAAATCCAAATGGCCAACAGACACATGAAAAAATGTTCAAGATCACTAGCAATCAGGGAAATGAAAATCAAAACCACAAAGAGGTTTCACCTCACCCCGGTCAGAACGGCTCACATGCAGAAATCTACCAACAACAGATGCTGGAGAGGATGTGGGGAAAAAGGGACACTAACCCACTGTTGGTGGGAATGCAAACTGGTTAAGCCACTATGGAAGTCAGTCTGGAGATTCCTCAGAAACCTGAAGATAACCCTACCGTTCGACCCAGCCATCCCACTCCTTGGAATTTACCCAAAGGAAATTAAATTGGCAATCAAACAAGCTGTCTGCACATTAATGTTTATTGCAGCTCAATTCACAATAGCTAAGACCTGGAACCAACCCAAATGCCCATCAACAGTAGACTGGATAAAGAAATTATGGGACATGTACTCTATGGAATACTATACAGCAGTCAAAAACAACGAAACCTGGTCATTTGCAACAAGATTGAGGAATTTGGAAAACATTACACTGAGTGAATTAAGCCAGTCTGAAAGGGACAAATATCATATGTTCTCCCTGATCGGCGACAACTAACTAAGCACCAAAGGGGAAACTTGTTGAAATGAAATAGATACTATGAGAAACAGTGACTTGATCAGCTCTTGTCCTGACGGTTGATGTACAATGTAATACTTTATCCATTTTAGTATTTTTTTTGTTCTAGTACTCTTGGTTGAACTCTGTAATTAACACACAATTATTCTTAGGTGTTTAAATTTT